GCATCTGCTGATCCAAATTTACAAAGAGGTACCCTTAATTTTGGGAACTCCCCATATAACCCCTATAATCCCTATATGACCCCCCTAAACCCTAAACCCTAAACCCCAAAACCTAATCCCTAATCCCTATATAACCCCTATATTGATCAACTTCCGCAATGGATGATGCACAGCTGCCGAAGCAAAGTTCCTCCTGGCCTTCCGGCTTCCGGGCCCTAAATTTGCTGGCGTCTCTGCATTGCCCTAAGGGTCCAAGGACCCAAATAATAATAGGGTCCCTTTAAAGGGGTTCTAGGGGGATATATAGGGTTTAGGGTTGAGGGATCAAGGGTCCAAGGACCCAAATAATAGGGTTTCAGGTCCAAATACTATACTATCAATGGTATTTGGGCCCTGAAACCCCATTATTTGGGTCCTTGGACCCTTAGGGTTGGAGAAGCCCGGGAATGCAAATGTCAAGACCATGGCGCTTTCTTTCGCGGAGCCTACTTTTACATGCAGGGCAACTTCTGCGCACTGAAATCCAGATGGAGGCCGAACACCACTCCAACTCCCGCAATTCGACATGTGAGCCATAGTCTAAACTCCTAGTATCCCCCTTAATAAGCCCTATAGTAGTCCCCTATATAATCCCCTATATATCCCCCTTTTAAGGAGTTTAGACTATGGCTCATGTGGGGAACAGAGCACTCCGAAGCAATTTGTCCGTCTGTTTGCTCACCTCGTGGTCTTTCGCGGCAAGCGCCGCCATCACAAGCACCGCGGTCAAAGGCACCGTCACAGCAGCAGCAGCACGTCTGGCAGTAAGGTACAAAATTTCCGGGTTTCACAGGCTTAGTTAACCCCAGAGTATACCGTGCAATTGTGTAGGGTATATAGACTGCGCTAGGGTTTGGGGTTTAGGGCCTAGGGTTTGAGGTTTAGGGTTTATGGTTTGGGGTTTAGGGTTTGAGGTCTGGGGTGTAGGGTTTAGGGTTCAGAAACTGAAGCCTTACCCTAAAAGACCCCAAAAGGGAATCCAAGGTCTGTTGGTCCTCATGCACTGTGCCTGCAAGCAAGGACTTCCACAAGAAGTGCCCCTCCGCATCCTGCAAAGCTGTCGGAAGCTGAGAGTCAGACAGCGTATCAACCTTCACGCGATCCAAGATGTCGTATAGCATATCGCGGACATCCTGAGCACAGGGAGGTCAGGGGTTTAGGGTTTAGGGGGTGGTCTACAGAGACATTGACATTCAACACCACACGATATAAATCGACACAGTCCGATAGTTCGCAGCCCGGCGACACAAAACCAGAAATGGCTTCTTCTTAAGCATGGCATTGCATCTTTCTTTGCAAAACGCCTTAGCGGGGAATAAGAAAATCTATTACATACGGATTCTGTTCCCTCATTTATCACTTAACCCGTAACCCTCAACCGCGCTCCGTCAAGTTCCATGTCAATATGGGGGAAGGGTAGACCCCGGCCCGTGTCCGACCTGACAACCTGACACAAAGCTATAAACGTTCGGGTTTAGGGTTTAGCGTTTTTAGGGTTTAGGGTTTTGGGTTTGTGGTCGGAACCTTGAAGCCCAAATCCTGGCTGTCAGCATTTTCTGAGAGCGGCTATTGCTATCACTGTTTTGCAGACTTTTCGTACTCTTATTACAACTCTTCTCATGTTTGCATTTAGTAGTCTTGTATTTCTAATCAGTACTTGTCGTCTAGTTTTATCAAGCGAAAATACATACAACTACACCTTTAATTCTATGTGTGTATATTATATATATAATTATATGTGTATATATATATATATACATCTCCGAAAATAGGGAGTGTCCAAAATCCGATCATGCGAAACTGTTTTTCATCAGTAGTTACACCGTTTTCAGGGGGTCGGTGGATCATGGGCGGGGGTGTCCATATATATATATATATATATGTACCTTCATCGGCTGGCCCCTTAACCCTAAACCCGCAACCCTACATCCTAACCGCGTTCAGCGCCGGGGCCAAGACCATCTTTTGAACGCGAGTGTTCATCTGGTTCCTGGGCGGCCGAATCCGCGAAGCCAGAGAGTTTTGCTGGGGGGTTGAGGGTTGCCTAGAGTTTAGGATTCAGGGTTTAGAGTTTAGGGTTTAGGTTGGCTTCATGGCCAGGGGTTCGGGGATTGGGGCTTAAATAGGCTGATGTTGAAAGAGGCTGTCATGTCAAAGACTTTTTTCTTTGCCACTGGGCTTGGGTCCCAAACGTCCCCTATTTAGGACCATCTCCATGGGCAGGTCTGAGAAAAAAACAGCGCCCTCTCCGCTCACATGTCACATAGTGCGAGGCTTCTTGATCTTCTGAAACTTGATCACGGCGTCTCGAACCAGTTCTTCCAGGTATGCAAAGTCCCCCATTCCACGCAAGTGACCCCACAGCCGATGGTCACGCCACTTGCTGCTCGGGAGAAGTGTAGAGCTAACACCGGAAAGGAACTGCGTGACTACACGAACCAGGGCATCCAGCTCCTCACATTGAGGGTTTGGCCAAGCGCGATCTAGAAGGAGCCGTGTAACAGCCGTGACCACAGCGACGCTTCGAAGCTGCGAACTTCCATGTTGAGCTTGCGGCGCCAAGCCAGTCTGCGGAAGCTGGTCGGGAGTTGAGGCTACGTTCTGCGGGCGCGGAGTGGAGTCCTGCTGCGGTCTGCTGGGAGCTGAGACGCGCAGTATGGGACGAGCCTGCAGTGTTACCTGGGTTGCCGTTAAGGAACTTGAATCAAGTTACCTGGGGTTGAGAGTTTAGGGCTACCATAATGGGTAGATATAGTAATTAAGAGGGTTTCCCAACATAGTAACTTAAATTAAGTCCCTTAACCCTAAACCCTATAGGTCCCTATATAACCCTATATAGAGTTACCCCCTATAGACCCTTACTTAAAGTAAGTTCCTAAACAGCAAACCCAGTTACTTTGCTTCGGTACTCGGCCCCCAGAGCTGCAGAAAGGAGGCGACGGCGCTCCTCGCCGCTTCCTGCCACCACTGCACTTGGCTCCTCAACAGCCTGGGTTTGTTGTTAAGGAACTTAATTTAAGTACCTACACCCCCAAAGCACGTAGAACAATGGCCCTTTTGGGCTATATGTAGGGGTCTTGGGCTATCACTTTACCTACTTTTGGGGTCCAGGTAAGGGTATATAGGGGGTAATTCTATAGGGGTATATAGGGATATAGGGTTTGGGGTTAAGGAACTTAACTTCAGTTACTATATTCGGAAAACCTTATGCGCGCATTAGGATAACTTAGCCTAAGTTCCTTAACAGCAACCCGGCAGCTCCGAAGTAATCATCAATCAAACCACTCAAGGTGGTGTGAGCTGCCGGCACCTCCGAGGCTTCTTACCTTCTTAGTTCCCCATCACGGTAGGTTCGGAAATGAAAATACTATTTTGTGGGTGTATGCAGGTAAACTCAATTTTGGAAGGTATCTAATTACACCCTAACCTTACCCTAAGCCTTATAAACTCTAAGCACCAAACTCTAGGTTAAACATCAAACCCTAAACCCCAAATCCTGCGTTAACCCTACAAGCGCTGTAGTCAAAACTCCTAGCATCCCCCTTAGGAAGCCCTATAGTAGCCCCCTATATAACTCTAAAGCTTATAATATAACCCCATTATAGTAGCTTCCATTTTATTTTCCATTATCCCAATATTACCCCAATATACTATAGTAGTTTCCATTTTCTTTTCCATTATCCCAATTATAACTCCCTATATACCCTCCTAAACCCTAAACCCTAAACCCTAAACCCTAAACCCTATCCCAATATTACCCCAATATACGACAGTAGGTCACAAGAGCCGCCTCCGCTTCAGGATCAGCCACCTTCTGCCTTTCTGAAGCCTCGGCTGCCCGAGTCAAGACCTCAGTTTGCAGGGTTTAGGTTTCAGGGGTCTAGGGTTTAGAGGTTTAGAATCTAGGGTTTACGTAGGGTTTAGGATTTGGGGTGTAGGAGTTTAGGGTTTCGGGTTGAGGATTTAGAGTTTTAGGGTTTGGGGTTCAGCGTTTTGGGTGTAGGTAGCAAGGGGTCTTGCTGGGGGGTTCAAGGTACAAAGGGTAGGCGGGAGGGGACCCTTTTCGCCCCTAAAACCTTGCATGACCCCAAATACTTTCTACCTTGGGGCTTACGGTATTCTAGTTTGCCAAGACCGTGCAGGTCTTTTAGAGATAAGCTGAGCACTAGACATGCTAAGAATATTCGCAGCAGTACTAGTATAGAAGACCAACAGCAGCTCAGGATACTTGAGGCGCTATAAATCCAAAACCCTACACGCTAAATCCTAAACCTCAATCCTAGACCCTATACACCTTAAAACCTAAACCCTACACCCTAATCCCTAAACCCTACACCCGAATCTTACCCGAATCCCTAAACCCTACACCCAAAACCCGAACAAGATGCGATGAAGGAGGCATCAAGCTTCTCGATGGCAGACTCCCGCGCGCGCACGTTGATGGAACTGATCTCCTCCGCCCATTCCTCAATCTGCGCTGCAGTCACCTAGGTTGAGGGTGTAGGGTTTAGGGGTTGCCCTCAAAAGCTGCCTCAATCCCAGACCATCCTAGTACCCTTATTTGCGAATATATGGCCAGTGATAGCGTATTTAGGCCTTAATAGAGGCTAGGAGGAAGGTCTACCATAATAGAACGCCTTACAGGAAAAAGCACGCAACACCAGCAAGTCTGGAACTACTTCTGGGTAGGGTGGTCCTCGATACATGACATGAGCATACAAGGATCCTGTCAAAACGGTAGGCAACTTATGAACTACAGTCAATGTCTCCTACATAATAAGTTAATGTGCATGGGTTCCTTATTTGGGACTATGTTAGGGACTATACTAAACTACAATAGAGACCCCTTATGTCCACTGTTCAAGGGCCCCTTAAAGGTCATTTTGACAGTAGCTCATATGAGCTATGGTCTAGACTCCTCGTATCCCCGTTGATATCTCCTATAGCAGTCCCTAAATATCTCCTATAGCAGCCCCCTATATGATCCCCCATATAAACCCCTTTTTTAGGAGTTTAGACTATGGCTCATATCTTCAATCTACCATAAGCTATCAGAGCCACGCGCTTCCGGACCATCAGCATGTAGCCATAGTCGGCCTTCTCTAGGGAATACTTCTCCCCTACATCCCTAAACCCTAGACCCTAATCCCTCAAACCCCCAAACCTCATCCCTAAACCCTAATCCCTGACCCCCAAACCTTAAACACTAATCCTAATCCCTAAACCCTTAAACCCAAACCCAGGGCCTTCTCCAGAGAATACTCATCTCCCCTGGCTTGCCACAGGCCATTCGACAGCTGCCCGGCCGTACCGCCCAAAGTCGCCACCGCCTTTCAGGGTTTAGGGTTTAGGGGTAACAGGGTTATAGGGATCTACTGGGATCTATAGGACATATAGGGTATAGTAGGGTTTAGAGCTTAGGGTTTAGGACTTCATGGAACTTAGTAACCACATAATACTGAGCCTTAAACCTTGCTCCAGATCCCTCCAAATGGCCTCATGTAGGTTATCCCACTTAAAATCATGGGTTCCCCCACTACCGCCCTCTTTACAATCCCCCCGCTTAATTGAAGCCATTTAGGGATAATTAGGCTTGATTCACGTTCATTAAGGGTAGCATAGGGGGCTAGGGGGGGCTTGTAGGGGAACCTATGATGAAAAGTAGGGCTATAAGCCCGGTGATAAGCAGCCACTAAATCCCACCCTCCCAGAAAACTTGAAAAAAAAAGCACATGCAGTCAGGCACTAGACCTTGAGGGGTTTTGTTTAGGGGTTGAGGGTCTAGAGTTGTAGGGTTTCGGGCTTCAATTGCATTTTGGGGTCGGCATAGTTAATGAGAAGCACATGTGAGCTCAATAATGGCAACAATTGGGGGAGGCATAAATGATGAGAAGCACTTGTGAACTCAATAATGGCAACCGTGACCCAAACCCCAGCCCCCCTAAACCCCGAAGTCTCAACCCTAACTTCAGCCGTGCACTCCCTGGCTGCCTTGACGGTGTCCAGTGTGTAGACCCCGGCAATCTTCTTGGCCATGGGGAGGACTTTCCGCAGTAGTGGGTCCACCTGTGGGTTAGGGATAACAATTTGCAACCTACCAGTTTAGGATTTTTAAGGTTAAGGTTAAGACATATAGTCTCAACCTTGTAAACCTTCTAAGCCTCAATCCTGGGCCCTGACGGATGATACTACGTAAGCATCCACCCCAAGTACCTCATACCTTTAAACTTCTGGGAGAATACAAAACCCTAAACCTTGGATACTGCCCCCACTCAGTAACAGTTGGATAATGACTATAATATGGGTATATATAGCCCTAATTGAATCCCTAATATAGACTGTTACTGGGTGGGGGAGTACCCGTACCCAACCTAAACCCTACCACGTGATCCACTCCCCCTAATCTTATCACCCCCCAACCCCACCACCCGACCCCTAATATTAAATACTCCCATTGTGTGGTATAGTATGATGTATTGGGAGTATTTAACATTAGGGGGGGTGGGGGTGGGGGTGGAAGGGGGGTTATAGTAGGTGGTGACGATTAGACACGAAGGGAGGGAGGTATGGATACAACTAGTCGCCCCTCTGCAAACCCTCAGCAACGCAGGTAGTTTCGCCGTTCTTCCCAATTCTGTAGACCCTAAAGCCTACTCAGTAAGTTCTGTTGTCTCCTATAAGTTGCTCATGCCGCGCAAACCACCAGAAAGTTAACCCTCAACCCTAGCTTCTACATATCCCTACACGCCTGCAGTCCCTTAAACCCTAGATCCTAAGCCTTAAACCCTAAAACCCTAACCCCTAAACCCTACCCCCTGATAACCCCTAGTTCCCATTTCAATTTCTGCTTGCTTTTGCCATTCCTCCACTCCTGACTCACAACCACTAAGTGGTTCAGGGTTTATAGGGTTTAGGGTGTAAACGGGTCCCAGATGTCAACCCTAGAGGCCTTAAATGCTACACTCCAAATCCGAAACTCTGGTCCCATCCTACACCCTGAATCTTAAATCCCCAGCCTTACCCTAAACCCTACCGGCAAATCGCGGTCGCCACCTCCGCCAGCTCTTCCGGGTCCGTGCGGAAGAATCGGAGCTTCCTGGGGATAGGGCTTAGGGGTTTAGGTGTAGGGTTTAGTGGTCTAGGGGTTGAGGGTTTAGCAATTGGATGGTAGGGTCCCTTGAAAGGGGCCGAAAAAGGAGAGACAGAGAGAGAGACGGAGAGACTGAGCGGGAGATATATGGGTGCTTCTCAAAATGATGTCCCCGTTGGGATATGAATGACATCACGCCACGCCACCTTAGGGGCAACATAACAGGGACCCTATTTTCTTGGGAACTTCCCATATGAGCTATATAGTCTAAACTCCTAGTATCCCACTTAATAACCCCTACAGTAGTCCCCTACATAATCCCCTATATAACCCCCTTAAAGGAGTTTAGACCATAGCTCATATGTAGGCATCGTGTCTTTTGCATTTGGGGTCTTAGCATCCCTGGGCCTCGAAATCTATTCGGGTTTAGGGTTTAGGGTTTAGGGCTTAGAGTGTAGGGTTGTAGAGTTTAGGATTTAGGGATATATAGGTTAGGTGGACCCCCCAACCCTGTAATAGTGACAATGAGAGATAGTGGTGATTCTATTCGGGTCCTCTTATACTCCGACTCTACTACTATTACAGGGTGGGGGGTCCACCTTATCTATAAGCAGTCTATTTTGGTGAAAGGGTCCCCGAATCGGGGTTTTGGGTAGGCTTTCTAGCCTTGTTGGTTAATCCCAAACCCCCCTAAACCCTAAACCCCTGAACCCTTAGTTTTGTTGGTGAAAAGGCGTTCGGTTTAGAGCTGTTAGCAAAGGGACTTTAATGGGAATCTCAAACAGGGAACCCCAAGAACATAGTATGAATATAATAGAAAACATAACCCTGGTAGGCGCATTCCTAATATATTCCTACTGTATTCTTGGGGTTCCCTGTTTGGGTTTCCCATCAAATCCCTTTAGTTAGGGTTTAAGCTCAGGGTTGCGCGTTGTAGAGTTGGGCTATTGGGAGGAGATCAGGATCTGTAACAGGGTATATGAATATCAGACAGTAATGTTGGATCCTCTTGAATCTTGAGGGCCCCGTCCCTCCCTCCCAACAGGGGCCGCGGAACAGGAAAATGGAAAACCCTCAACAAGGGCCCTCAGCCTATCACGGTTCTGAGATCCCTGTGGTCTGATTTGAAAGGAACGGTCTAGCTTCTCCTAAAACACCAAAATCAAAACACATCATAGGGGACGTCACAGTCATTACCCTGATCCTGAATATCAGGAACCACAAGGCAAAAGGAGATCCAACATCATTTCCCACGTGAATCATGGGGTCCTAGCAAGGAATATATGGGGAACTTCAAGGACCGCTAGGTCCACCCTTAATGCTCCCTTGGTAACCCTAATATTGACAGTAGTTCACATAATGTTGACTTCACATTAAGA